ATTCACATGCATTCATCATCATTACCCCTTTAATCCACATGCTCTCCCATTTCAGATTCACCACAAGAAAACACCATCATTGCCGTGCACATGCATTCCCTTCCATTTTCTGCTTGCATTTCTAGCTTTGCACATGCATATATTCCTCCTCCTAGCTGTCATGTCCCCCCCATTTTACCTATAAATAAGCATCCATTGCATTCATTCTCATTCACTCTCATTCATACACATTTCAGTCACACACTTCTTCCATTTCAAAATGTAGACATCAAACCACCCTTGCCGTGCTCTCCCTTACAATCCAAACACCATACTTCCATCCCCCCAACCAACTATCCCTAGACCTTATGCTACAACGAAGAGGAAGAGAAGAGGAAGAGAAGAGGGCCTAAACGTTCATACAATTCAAGTTTGAGTTGTTGGAATGTTTAGGTGTTTCTTTGATTTCAATGTTTAAATTCAATTCTCTTTGTTTTGTATGATTGAGGAATGGAAGAAAAGAGTGCTTAAACGTTCATACAATTCATGTTTGAGTTGTTGGAATGTTTAGGTGTTTCTTTGATTTCAATGTTATAAAGAACTAAATCCCCCTTTGGCTAGGGGTGAATTCGATGTAGCCTTGCAAAACTATTCCATGTTATTAAGTTAAAGTATTTGATTCACCAATCTGTGCTCTTTTTTCATTCACTGATTTTATAGTTTAATTTGTTTGTTAATCTTAATGTTTGATCACCATTAGGGCTGCTTATGAATTATTTGATCAAGGTTATAGTACACATCATGCTTAATCTTGGTAGACATGTGAATGAATGAAGAAACTGCTATGCATACATCCTGCCATGTGATTTCTTTGATTCTTTGAAGTTTTCTTGTTCTTAATGGATTCTTACTTGCTAATCTAAGTTGAACATCACAACTAGGTTGCATATTAGGAGTACTTGATCACAACCACACATCAAATGGATGATCATAAATAAGTAAAACGAACCCTAGTTGCAGATTGGAGAGTTGAATACGTTTTGACTTAACAAACATGGACTTGGTTTAGCAGTGGTGAAATCGAATCCCTAGCTTCATCTCCATTGATACTATCTCATTTTATTAGTTGTTGATTCATTTATTTGTGTTTACTTCATGTTCTTATACTTTCAAGTTACAATACCAAATCTGCCTATTTAGACTAGTTTGATACAATACCAAATCTGCCTATTTAGACTAGTTTGATTCAATTCTTAATATGCCTAGTTTGATTACATTTTAGTTAGAAAGTATCTTAGTTTGTGTTTTTAAGCATTTTGATTCATTCTATTACTCAATTTCGTCCAAAGTTACCAAAGTGCTCAAAACTGCCCAGAAAGTGATTTTAAGGCAGTTTTGAGTGTTTTGGGGCTGTTTTGAGTCTTTTGATTTGTTTGAGTGTTTTTATTGTTTAGTTTTGCATTCTTTGAGTCTAGTTTAGTGTTTCAAACTTTATTTTACGTTTTTGAGTCAGTTTCCAAGTGATTTTGCAATCCCTCCTAATCCCCGGTTAAGAACGATCCCTACTTACATTCTTCACTACAATTGACAAAAAGAGGGTTTAAATTGTGTGCGTATAATTCTCGCATCAGTAGGGAACTTGTGGGGAATGCTTTGGGTTGTCGTATGCAATCATCCAATTCATTAACTTAAGGAAAACTTGACGGTTAATTTAAGCGGACCTAATTAACCCGGGGTGTTGAGTTTCATAATTCATCGAAAGACCAACCGAAAATCATCTTGTATGCAAGTGTAACATGTGTGGAGAAGAACCTTCTAGCTAGCATTCATCCATATTTTCATCACATTCATATTTACATTTTGCCCTTAATTACAATATGTGCATTTTAGTTTAATTTCGTCAAAACCTCAATCCCCCCCCCCCCCCATATTTTGTTAGTCTTACTCTATCTTATTTTGTGTTTTTAAGTATTTGGAGTCTTGTGGACTTATTTTGAGTTTTCGTTAAGTGAATTAAGTGTTTAAAGATTAGTTTTATTTATTTAAGTCAAGTGTTTAGCACCCCTAGTTAATCCCCGGTTAGAACGATCCCTACTTACATCATTACTACAATTGTCACAAATAGGGTTTAATTTATGTGTCACATTCGTAACGCATCACATACAAAAAGTTTCATTCAAACGAGGCACTTGTTACGCAGACGGCGAAACGATCCAAAACACCGCTTAGTACCATAGACGACGATGCAGCAGCAGCAGCAACAACAACAACCGCAGGCAATGACCCAGAACTCCACGCCGCCGCAACCTCCCTCTGTTGAGGCGCCGCCAAACAGGTGGTGCAGGTGATGGAGCGGCTTTCTCACATTAGGCTTGACTCCGACCGCCTCCTCGAACCCCTGTTCTTGGCGCTGAGCCTCTCCATTTGTTCCTTAACGAGGACGCCTCCATGCGCCAACACCTCCTCTACCTCCGCTTCGTCGGTACCTCCTCTCTCTCTAGGATTTGATTCGCAAAAACCTATCTCGCATTGAAAAATCCACAAATGTTTGAGGGTGTCGCGCTTATTTTTGCTGGGAAGGCAGCTGGAAGAATGTGAAGTTCTGAACGAGTCGCTGCGATCACGGAGCAATTCTTGGGGGCTACATATGCCATTGGTTTGTCCCGATGGAGCCGTTGTTGCGTATGCTTGGAAGTGGCAGCTTGCCGGCCAAGTTGGCGCATCTGCTGTTGACAGAACCAGGTTGGTCTCAAGTTCATATACTATATCCTTTACTTGAAAAATTATGATTAAAGGAAAGCTTTTTTTTTTTCGAAATTTCCAAAGCATACATAAGCTTCTGCTCCAAAAAAAAAAGTTAAAGATTTTGAATACTTTTTCACTAGAGAGGATGTGGAGCAAATACAAGTTTCGTAATTTCGTAACGCGGTTCGAATCTGGTTCATTGTGGATTATATTCTTACTGGTTGTGTATTTTGTTGTATTTTGACCCATGAAGCCATTTCCTGAATTCTGTTATTCAATGTTTTAGGTTTGCTCTCAAGGCCTTCATTGAATTGTGTTATTCAATGTCCTAGGTTAGCTCTCAGAAAAAAAATATATCTTGCTTGCGGGACTCTTCCATATTTGGCAGCTGGGAGGCCTTCCCTTCCCTGATGAAAATCAGGCGGCTTAGGAGTCTTTTTATGCTTGCCGCTGGTCTTGGAGTCCAAGATCGGCCAACATGGTGGCATGCCGTTTGGCGTGGAGTAGGAATACGGAGATGTGCGACTTCACATGCGCTAACTGCCCCCCATCTTCGTTGATTCATGTTCTGAACAATGATGGTTTACCATGTCCTTAAATTTCATGAAATTGGTAGTGTAGGAGGGTAACGTTTTAGCATTTGTTGGAGCGTAAAGTCCCCCACTTGGACATCTTCATGAGCATATCTATAATTTCCATAAGGGCTCCACAGGCATGAAGAGCTTGGTGGGCTCCTTGTGTTCTTACACTGATCCAAGGAGTTAATTTTATGATTAACTAGTATATGCCTACACACAGTGTGTGAGATTTTTATTTTTTATTTTTAAAGTTGAAAGAGAGAGAGTGGGTGAGAGTGGGGAGTGAGGTTTTTTTTTTTTTTTTTTTTTGTAATTAGAGATGTTCAAATCACTTGTAGGTGGTGAGGCTTAAACAAAAAATAGCAAATTTTTGTTTTGTAAACTTACGTTACTGCTCTTAATCTTTTTATTATGATAGAAGACTAAATAATTTTTTCACCATCTTTTAGTTGACAAAGATGATTCTATTGATATATACTTTAGATGAAGCACTTTTAATTTTTTGTTGGGAAGATGAAGTTACTTGGTGAAAGTTGGGGGTGCAGTACTTTTTTCTCATCTACGTTTCGAGTGTGACATGACGTAACATCCTATGCTATGTGTGTCTTAACTGTTATATTTTATCTTCACAATTATTTAAATCTTCTATTTTCAATCATTGTATCATTAAATATTATGTACTTCGTTGTATCATTAAATCTTCTATTTTCCTTTATTGTTGTCAGTTATAACCGAGAGCAAAATCGATACAATTAAAAAAAATTCCATTCAGCGTAGGGTTGGCTGCATTCGACCAGCCCTTCAGCCTTTTCAGATTTCGTGGGGCCCACGAGGCTTTTGGCTTGGTCTTTGGTTGGAGACGATTTTCGGGCTATTTTCGGCTCTTTGGACCCTTCGGTTGGAGATGGCTTAAGACAGGGATGAAGTCAGAGATATGCATGGATGGGGGCATCTTTAAACAAAAAAGTCACAAATTAAAAAACACAAAAATATACTAAACAAAACACTTATATATTAGTCCATAAGGTTTTTCATATAACATATCACAATGTCCATCAATGCGTTTTTATATTTTGAAAGTGTTGCATGACAACCTCATTACCAATACCATCAAACATCTCCCTCTACAAAAATAACCATGTTATCATTTATCCATTAGTCTCTCATATAATTTCTCAATCGATCTTTATAAATTTCATGATCGAAAATGCTCTTTCAACAATAAAAATAGCATATGGAAGAGCTAATACTAATGCTACAAACAACTGAAAGAGTACTTTTTTTTTCACACACACAAAAAATGAGTGGGGGCATCCGCCCCCTCTGAGCCTAAGGTGACTCCGTCCGTGGCCTAAGAGGAAAAGGCTTACATTGGGCATGAGGGCTCGGTCGGCCAACTTCGACTAGGTTCCAGCCGTTTTTAAATATTCATTTTAATATCTGTTCGTGTATTGAAAAGAGGCATATTTCTAGTCGTTAATCATGTACATATTGACCATTCCACAAAACGAAGGTTTTTCTCTACAAACATTAATTGTACATGTTGTGTATTTCCTCTTCATACATAACACATGTGGTGTACAAGCATCATACACATGTATGTACTTACATTAATTAAGAAGAAATACTTGTAAAAACAGATTTTATACTCAAACAATAACCACACTATTCTCATTTTAAAAAAGTATTAGATAATTATTTAAAAATGCTAATAGCAATTATCTCGTATTATGTTTTCTTTTAACATTTGCACAGAAACGAATATTTCCTGCACATTTCTCATTTGGTAGCTGAAAATCAAAAACGTAAAAAGAACTTGAATGATTAATTGAAAGCTTTACAAGGGGCATATAACATCGGTTATTATTTAACCTCATCTTAAATTGTACAAAGACTACCATTGGAAGCTAAGTCCCTACTTCTCAAAACAGGCATGTCAACTACCTATCGCTTCTGTTCTCCCCACGTCTTACTCTCAAAAAATTCATTCAGCATTGACTCAATATTCTCCGGACGTAGCTTTATATACTTCCCCGGGTTTTTTCCGTTCTCGACCGTATGCCTGCTACACGATGTGCGTCAACATTGATGCCAGAAATGCAGAAATTATGGATCTTTTTCAAAGGAAATTTCGAAAATAGGAGAAAACATACCCGAAACGTTTGATGAATGATCTGTAAGCAGGCAAGAGGATTTCAGCAACAGCTAGCCTTAAAGACTCTCGCAATTCACTGTCAGGAACTGTCCACTGAGATTGCTTTTGATGAAGCTCCTCAAACTGCGTGTTGAAGGTCTTGAAACGATCTTTCACCATTGCTCTTGAAAGCGAACTGCTATCACCACCTGATGGATTTCCGCCCTGAACGGTAAGACACTGCAGAATCTGCATCACAAAAATCAAATAAAGATACCAGAGCATATGAGAATGATTTTCAAATAACAGGAAGAATAATTCGAGCATTGTAACTTTAGATTGAAATTTTGACAACAGTTGAGCCCATTTACTACTGTTATAGCGGATAAAGATGTTGCCATACCAACACCTTCTAATGGTTTATTCGAAACATATGAATACCATAATCATCTATAATGTATTGAGAATAGACAGATTAAAAAATAGTCGAGACCAGGAGGCCAGGGGAGTGGATCAAGGCCACATGATCAAATGTCCCAAGGAAAATATCGAAATGAATGACATGCTGTGAAATTTTTGAATAAAGGGTAAATTCAGGGTATTGATAAAAGGAAAACATGACCAACACAGACAAATCCCGAATGCTCAATATCTAACAAGAATTCAAAACCAGGGAACAAGGCAGCATCAGAAGAAAACAGAAAGAATATGGTGGAGAAATAATATGATCAAAGAATCAAAACCTTTGCCCAAGAAACCCTCTTATATTGATTTGCATGCTGCTGCACGATCCTTCGGTGTATCTGCACCCAGTCATCCCCCAACAAATCCTTTGCTTCTGACCTGTATATAATTACTTATCAGTTAATACAGTAGTAGCATGCAGATAGGATCAGTATCTTCTAAGGAGTAGAATAACTATAAAACAAACCTCCGCACGGATCTCACTACGTAGTGAATGTTGTTCATGAGAAATAACTGAGTGAGTGCAGGATCTTTATACTGCTTAGATTTTCCATCCAGGTTGTTCTGAAGAGCCTGCATAATCCTTGTAGTAACCTTTGATAACTGAGACTCTGGCTCACCTTCATCAAACTCTTGAAAAAGTTGCTTCAGTGTAGACTGATAACTGTGAACATTTTAAACAGTCATGCGGTGATGTTTGCACAGTTACTGTGAAAAAGTACCAGAAAAATAGAAAGAGAACCGAACTTGGGATTGGGAGAAAAGGAAGATACAAAAAAACGCAAATGGCTTAGCTGATAGATATTTTAATTGATATGGAAATTATTGCAATGATCTTGATAAATTAAGGGCATTCACATATAAGCCCTAGATAACATCACACCTTAGACAAAAAACACACTTCAAACTCAACACTTCAGAGAAAAATCAGCTTAGTTTGTATTATGTAATACCAAAATAACTTCGCAACTAAAAATCAATTAATGCATGGCATGGGGATGGATGAAGGGCTTTTGTCTCCAATTGAGCTCTTAAAAAGTGTTTTTCTATAAAACTTACAGTTGTAAGGGCGTTTTTTCCAGTTTACTAATAAATTAAACATTACCATCATAACCAGCCAACGTGGAGACAAACAATCCAAGTAACTAACAATTCAACAAAGCAGAGAATTTACCAAAAGCAATAGGGTAAAAAAATTATACAGATCAGATCGCCCTCAAAGACATCAGCAATCATGAATGCTTCAAAGTTATTATATTTGCAATCTCCTCAGAGAAGGAACAAAATAGCAAGAATCAGAAAGCACAGGAATAATTACTTACTCGAAAAGAAACTTTACATAGTTTATCACGTAGCTTGTCAAAGGATGGACGGTTCCATCAAGAACGGCAGTTTTTGTGGCATCCTTTTCAACAGCTTCTTCAAAATCACCAAAAGTTTCCTGGGCTGTTTGAGCTAGACGCTTTGTCAAACTTATTGCAGTTTCCCGCATTTCCATGCAAGCTTTGCTTCCAAAAAGTAACTCAATCTGAAAAATAAGATCTAAGAATTATATTTTAAACCATCGATTGTTTCCTTAAGAAGTATTAAACCAACATTTGATGAACATATAAAGATAAAGATGAGAACGAAACTAATATTTTGACCTTCTACTTTCTTTAAGAGTTATAGTTTCCTTGCAATATAAATTTCTGTAAGAAATCAGCTTGACATCATTACACTTAACCCCATTCCCATGTTAATACTTTTCAACCTTTTGGCCTTCAATATACTCCAGCGATCATCTCATATAATTAAACATATGAATTTGTGAATTTAAAGGCTATTTATTGATGTGTTCTAAGGTGTTGTCAGGCCTCATTCAAACTTACACAAGCTCTGCCATGATTTAAGAAACCAATACTAAGGTCTTAACAAGGATTTATATCAGCAACATAGCATCATTTTCATATTCACATCGAAGCCAGCACTACAGTGAAGAGTGAGAAACTGCATGTTCTGTCCCAAATTAGTAGCAATGGATGGACTCCAGAAACATCTTATGCAAGTTGGTAAAGTGCTTTAACCAAAACGATGTTGTACATAAACTAGTGACTGAGTGTGTGAGTATGTGTTGGGTTTATTGATGCCTCTTTACCAATTTTAAGAATAAAAGGGTTGTATTAGGGAAAATCGAACTCTTAACCTTTCTTGTTGAGTTACTCCTAAACCCATTACGCAACACATAATTCACGATTAGAAGAAATTTTTGTGCACAATCTTATGTGTGCTCCTACCTATGCATGTGCTTGGGTGTTGAGCGATTAAATCTTCTAAACTCATTTTATATGTACCATTTATGTGAGTTTTATCATTGATTAAACTCTGTGACTCTATCTTTGATTAATACGTGTTAAATTTATGACGCAAAGTCAAAGAAAAGTTACTAAGTTTTTATTTATTCAGCAAAATCTACCCTAACAAAGTGAAGGGAAAAAAAAACACACAAGTTACTGGTTTCTTACATTTCTTCTGCATAAAACTCAAGATAATCAAACTTCTATTCTTCTTTGATGAACAAGAAAAAAATACCATAGTTAGAGAAAGGTCACAAAAGCTCAATAAGTCCAGTCTCGAGGCAAACCAGCATTGGAACAAACACTTTTGATGGCTTTAATCTCCTCCCTATTTCTTAACCCTACAACAAAACATATAATCAATAACTGAATCATGATATTTGGATGAAGAGAAATGCTAAGAGAGCTTCTCAAAAGTAGAACACTTTATGAACTTTTTTTAACGTCAGTTTTTGCGTCAACAATATAAAACATTGAGCTAAAAACATGAGATGACAGAGAATTCATAAAGAATTTGACTTTTGAAAGAATCCCCTTATCATTTCTCTTGAAAGGATAAAATTCTCATTTGCAAACATGACAACGTGCAAGTGACTGTGATAGCCTGTCCCGAAATATTTGTACCGATGGCGTGAAATTACTAAAGTACCCTTGAACATTTGGGGCGTTGTATGGTTTAAGTTTTGGTTGTGGACCAATATGTTAAGTCCCTAATATTTTTGGAACCAATTAGGAACTTAGACTTACATTTGTTTTATTTTTTTTTGGTTGGCTGCCATCTAGAACACACACACACACACACACACACACACACATCCAATCCCATTGACCCTCTCTCTCTCCTCCACACTCGAATTTTCTTGCCATTTCCGTACAACCTGTACGGACAACCCTCAAAACCCTTTCAAACATCGAGGATCAAGGTCGTGAATGGTGTTTTTGGACTCTTTGCAAGCTTAGGAGTCGAATGGTGGTGATGGTGGTTGGACGTGAAAACCTCGAAAACCTTTGAAACCAGAATTCCCAATTTGGTGCACTATTCATGCAAACATGATCATGAAGTTTTCAGAGAGTTGTAAGGTTCTAGGAAGCTTTAGAACAGCTTCACGAAGCTCGGAGAAGAATTTTGAAGTGTTTTGGATGTCGGGAAGCTCGAGTTCATTGAGTTGCAGTGGTTGCTGGAGTGTTCGAGGTTTCCCCGGTGAGATTCAGTTTGTTTTCGGGCTCCAAAGTGATAAGATCATGTTCTCCTAGTTGAGAGCTTCATTTTGGTACAAATTTCATGAATTTTGGTGTTGAAATGAGTAAGTTATCAAGCTTTGAAGTTTTTCCTGAAACCAACGACCGGCGTGGGACTCCGGCGAACCAAGGAAGAAGAAGGAGAATATTCTGTCAACTTTGATGGAATATACTAACGGCGTCAAGTATATATAACGGTATATTCCCTAACGCCGTTAGGGTTTCCGTACGTGTGTCAGGCACATGCCTGCGCGTGGCCGGCGCGTGGGTGGCCGAAAAATTTTTCTAAAAATATGGGGATGTTCGTGGCGTTGAGTAGATCACGTTGGTATATTTAAACAAGCCATTTGAGTAATGTATGAGAAGTTATTAGCTAGTTTTGTTTATGTGCTTTAAGTTAACATTTATATAGTTGTTTCACATATAGGTGAGACCTATCCTCAGGACGAGCATAGTCAATCGAGCCTCGAGGGCTACGACCCTTCCACATACCAGTGAGTGGGAATTTGGTTTTCCATATATACCTATATACTTGAGATTTTTCCTAGAAAATTGATTTAAATGAATTTATGTTTAGAAATGCCATGCATATATTGATTTATAAGTAGATCATTGAATTAATATAGTATGCATAAATGTGATTTGACGCTCTGGACGCTTAGGTAAGTAGTAGGTGAGTTGTAGATTGTTTATGTAAATTGATGATTATGTGAGATGTGTTGAGAGCTTATAAACCTACACCCTGGTGTTAGTGCTCCCGCCTAGAGTTAGGGCATAGTCCTTCATGTGATGTTCACCTCCCGAACCATACGCTCATCTTGGATCCAAGTTAGGTGCACAGTCCTGTCTTATAGACCACTATAGGTGGTTCCGACACGTAGGTGACCCATGATTATTCGCACAATCTTCGCGTGATCGTAGTACTTAAGCATATTTATTTACACCCAGTCCTGTCGTCCAAACCACTTTAGGTGGTTCTGACTCGTGTGCAGGTATATTTGTTGAGATGTGGATTTGAGCCGTACAGGTCACGTTAGGTGATTTGCATTGATTTATATCATCTGGCTTACATATAATTTTTTATGTTGAGATATTTGACATGGCATATTGGTGAATTTTGCTATTCTAAGCATGGTTGTGGTATAGATATATATTCTATTTCTGGGAAATTATACAGGTTTTACGGCGAGGGGTTAGAACTTTTGAGAAATGAAATGATTTTGAAAAGCTTTGTTTTTGCCCACTCACACTTTTTGTTTTGCGCCCCTCCAGGTTCTAGTTAGGAGTGCTTTTTGGTGGCTTGCGAGGAATCCACAGCAGCTCTGACAGATTATCACCATTGTATGGTCACCTTTGGGTGTTATATAATTAGTATTTGTCCTGTTGGACTGCACTTAGGCTACTTATGCTTTGATTGTGCATTTCACACTTAATCCCGCACTAGCACCTTTTCTTAGCTTGAACTACTAGTAGTTGGTTTTTATTTATTCGCATTTTTATTATTATTTTTGCTTCTGCACTGTGCACATAGCTACGTCACCCTCACGTGACGGCCAGCAAGCCTTGATTTCGGTCGGAGTGTGTCAGTTTGGTATCAAAGCCTAGGTTTGGCAGTCCTGCATATTTTGTGAGTATTCTAATTATTTTGGTGTCTTCTGTCAGAACTATGCCGCCTCGTAGAGAGCCACGTCGTTCATCTGAGCCTAGTTTCCCCGATATAGCTCAGTTAGGTGAAGTTATTGCTATTGCTATTCAGTCTGCGCTCCGCCCTCCTCAAAGGACACCCTTGGAGACTACGTATAATTTGAAGTTGGATAAGTTTGAGGTTAATGAAGGTCATGAAGGGGCAGAGCGGTGGCTCTACCATCTTGAAAAGACTTTCCGAGTATTGCAGAGTCAAGGGAATCTTCCTTATGAAAGGTGGGTCGAGACGACTACATGGTTCTTAGGTAAAGAACCAGCATCGTGGTGGAAACAGGAAGCTTATCCGATGACACTAGAGGAAGCAGCTGACTGGGAAGTATTTAAGAAGTTGTTTCAGAAAAGGTTTATTCCCCCTGAGTATATTGATCGCAAGAAGCAAAAATTTACTCAATTGAGACAGAGGAAGAAGACGGCGAATTAGTATAACAAGAGATTCACTGATTTGTCTCGCTATGATCTGAAAGTTGCTGCTAATCCAGTTGAGATGCTTCGTCATTTCAGATTGGGTACTAAGAAGAAGTGGCGTTCTATGGTGACCACTACTCATTGTGCTTCTTATCAGGAGTTCTATGAGATTTTGTTAAGGATTGAGGATTCAGAGAATATGCCTAGTGAGAGTGAAGAAGAAGAAAAAGACGGCAATCAGAAGAAAGATGATAAAGGTAAAGGTCAAGCATCTTAAAGACCTCGCAAGACTCAGAGCTTTAAGTGAAGTAGAGCTAGTTCTAGTTCTTCCAGCGAGGGTTTTAGTGCCACTGGTCAGGGAAGAGGTGGTAGATTTTCTAGGGGTCCTAGATTTTAGAGACAGGGGGATGCTAGTAGAGGAAGGGTTCTGTTGTGCCGCAGATGTAACAATAGGCATTTTGGAGAGTGTAGACGGGGCAGCAGTGGATGTTTTACATGTGGACAGATGGGACATAGAGCTGTAAGTTGTCTTCAGAATCAGCAGAGGCCCCAACAGCTTTCCTTGCCACCACCAGCGCCGAACCAGCAAGTTCCAGGGTCTGGTGGTTATGGTCAGATAGGTCGTGGTAGTGCTTACCATTATCAGGGTGGCGCAGTTCCTTATGCTTTAGGGTAGTATCAGTATTCCCAGGATCCTTATTATCAGAGTGGGTATCCTCAGTATTCTGGAGGTTGTACGCCGTATCCTCCCATTCCAGTTGGTGGATCTCAAGGGTATCAGGGATGACAGCCCCAACAAGGAGAGATTGCTTCCAGTAGTGCAGGATCTTTGAGGCAGTTTGGTCAACTAATTCAGGTGTGTAATATGCAGGGTCGAGGTAGTCAGACTAACAAAGGTCGTGGTGGATGACAACAGACCCAGGGGCGTATCCACAACATCACGCAGCAGGATGCTCAGAATAATCCTAACTTAATCATGGGTACGTTAAATATTCTTGGTCACTTTGCTAAAGTGTTAATTGATTGTGGTGCTACACATTCTGTCATTTCTCATACTTTTGCTCAAGTGATGCAACCTCCTCCTACACCTCTTAGGTATGATTTAGAGATTTTGCATTTCTCATACTTTTGCTCAAGTGATGCAACCTCCTCCTACACCTCTTAGGTATGATTTAGAGTTTCCTATGCCTAGAGGAAAGAGATGTTATGTTGATTGTGTATATCCAGGATGTCCAGTGATGGTGAAGGATATAGTTATGCCAGCTAACCTTATCCCGTTAGATATTGTTGATTTTGATGTGATTTTGGGCACATATTGGTTGCATTATAATTGTGCCAATATAGATTACTACAGGAAAACAGTTACTTTCCATCATCCTGGATTACCTGAAGTTACTTTTGTGGGTGAGCAGAGTGGGGTGAGGCATGGCCTTACTTCTGCTATGAAAGCAAAAGGATTATTATCAAAAGGTTGACAGGGATATTTAGCTCATGTGGTGTTGAATGATGTTGCTCCTAGTAGTGTGGAGGATGTGCGAGTAGTTAGGCATTTTCCTGACGTATTCCCTGATGATTTACCTGGATAGCAGCCAGACCAAGACGTAGAGTTCATTGTTGATTTGCTTCCAGGTACGGATCCTATATCTTTGACTCCTTATTGAATGGCTCCTGCTGAATTGAGGGAATTGAAAATCCAATTGCAAGAATTAGTTGATAAAGGTTTTATTCGACCTAGTACTTCACCCTGGGAGCTCCAATGTGATTTGTGAGGAAGAAAGACGGGACTTTGAGGCTATGCATTAATTATAAGCAACTAAATTGGGTAACAATAGAAACCATTATCCATTGCCATGTATAGATGATTTGTTTGATCAGCTTCAAGGTGCCTGTGTATTTTTTAAGATTGATTTGAGGTCTTGTTATTACCAGTTGAAGATCAGTAGTGAGGATGCTCCTAAGACAGCTTTCAGGACTTGTTATGGTCATTATGAGTTTTTGGTGATACCATTCAGATTAACGAATGCACCAGCAACTTTTATGGCTTTGATGAATCGAGTATTCCAGCCATATTTAGATAGGTTTGTTATTGTCGTTATTGACGATATTTTGGTATACTCTAGGTATAAATCAGAGCATGTTCGACATCTCCCTTTGGTGTTAAAGAGATTAAGGGAACACCAATTATATGCTAAGTTTAGCAAATGCCAATTTTGGTTAGATCAAGGGTCATTTTTGGGACACGTCATATCTGCTCAAGGTATTCCGGTGGATCTTTAAAAGGTAGCAGCAGTGGAGAGTTGGGTTAGCAGGATATTACAGACGATTTGTTAAAGATTTTCGGTCGTTGCTTTGCCACTGACGAGGTTGACTAGAAAAGAGGTTAAATTTGAGTGGGATGATAATTGTGAGCGGAGTTTCCAGGAGTTGAAGTATTATCTCACTTATGCACCTGTTTGATAATGGTACTTTTAAGGTCTATAATGATGCTTCCTTGAATGGTCTGGGATGTGTGCTGATGCAACATGGTAGGGTGATTGCTTATGCTTCACGACAATTAAAGCCTCATGAGAAGAATTACCCTACACATGATTTGGAGTTAGCAGCCATTATCTTTGCTCTGAAGATTTGGAGACATTATTTTATGGAGAAAAATGTAAGATTTTTACGGATCATAAGAGTCTTCAATATCTTTTCACTTAGAGGTATCTTAATCTTTGACAGCGGAGATGGTTGGAACTGCTTAGTGACTATGGTTGCATGATTGACTATAACCCTGGTCATGCAAATGTGGTAGCTGATGCACTTAGCAAAAAATCTCAAGGTCGTATTAACGCTTTGTATGCTTGTCATGTTCCTCTTTTGGCAGACTTGAGATCAACTGGAGTGAAGTTAAGGGTAAAAGAACGAGAAGAAGCCTTACTTGCTAATTTCCAAGTTAGACCAATTTTAATTGATAGTGTACTTGAAGCCCAGATGGATGATGAGGAAATCCAGGAGTTAATTGAAGCCAGAAGTCAGGGGAAAAAGAAAGATCTCAAAGTTCGAGAAACTGATGACATGCTTATGCAGGAGAGTAAAATGTACGTGCCAAATAATTTCGAATTAAAGAAAACAATTCTTGATGAAGCGCATATTTTAGCTTATGCAATGCATCCTGAGGTACTAAAATGTATCATACTATTCGACCATTTTATTATTGGCCGGGTATGAAAAGAGCAATTGCTGAGTATGTGAGTAGGTGTGCCATTTGTCAACAAGTTAAAGCTGAAAAGAAAAAGCCTTTTGGGTTGATGTAGTCGCTTCTCGTTCCACAATGGAAATGGGAAAGCATTACTATGGATTTTGTGTACAAGCTTCCTCACACACATAATGGTTATAACAGCATTTGGGTGATAGTTGATCGGCTTACTAAGTCAGCACATTTTATTCCAGTGAGGGAGAAGTATTCTTTAAGCCGATTAGCTGAATTATTTATATCAAAGATTATGAAGTATCATGGAGTTCCTGTTAGTATTGTCTCAGATCGTGATGCCATGTTTACTTCTAAGTTCTGGGTGGCATTTTAGGAGGCTCTGATTATAGTACAACATATCATCCTCAGACAGATGGACAATCAAAGAGGACCATTCAGACGTTGGAGGATATGTTGAGATCTTCGGTATTGCAATTTGGTGACGCTTGGCATAGCGGTTGGATTTGATGGAATTTGCCTACAACAACGGCTTTCATTCGAGTATTGGTATGGCACCATTTGAGGCACTTTTTGGCAAATCTTGTTGCACACCTTTATGTTGGTCAGAGGTTGGTGAAAGAGTTTTGGAGGGCCCTGAGATAGTGGAGGAGACTACTCAAAATATTCAAGTGATTAAGTCTAACCTGAAAGCGGCCCAAGATCGACAAAAGAGCTTAACAGATAAACATGCCACTGACCAGGTGTATAATGTAGGTGATTGGGTGTTTCTGAAGTTATCACCGTGGAGAGGTGTGATACGGTTCGGGAAGAAAGGCAAGCTATGTCGTAGGTACATCGGACCGTATATGATCACCGAGCAAGTCAATGAAGTTGCGTACAGGCTTGAGTTGCCTTCAGAGCTGTCTAAAGTGCATAATGTTTTTCATGTGTCCATGCTTCGTCACTATGTTTCAGATCCGTTGCATGTGATACCTCATCAACCATTGGAAATAAATTCGAATTTGACTTATGACGAGGAGCTAGTGACTATTCTGGATTGGAAAGAAAAGGTTCTAAGGAACAAGACTGTGAGATTAGTGACAGTTTTGTGGAGAAATCACTCAGTTGAGGAGGCCACTTGGGAGACAGAAGACCAGATGAGAGAATTGTATCCACGCCTGTTTTATGATTACTAGTGGTTTGTTTGTTGTTGTTATGTAATTTCGGGGATGAAATTTTCTTAAGGGGGTAGGTTGTGACAGCCCGTCCCAAAATATTTGTATCAATGGCGTGAAATTACTAAAGTACCCTTAAACGTTTGGGGCATTGTGTGGTTTAAGTTTTGGTTGTGGACCAATATGCTAAGTCCCTAATTTTTTTTGGAACCAATTAGGAACTTAGACTTAGGTTTGTTATATTTGCTTTTGGTTGGCTGCCATCTGGAACGCGCACACACGCACACATCCAATCCCGTTAACCCTCTCTCTCCTGTCCACATTCATATTTTCTTGCCATTTCCGTACAACCTATACGAACAACCCTCAAGACCCTTTCAAACATCACGGATCAAGGTCGTGAATGGTGTTTTTGGACTCTTTGCAAGCTTAAGAGTCGAATGGTGGTGGTGGTTGGACGTGAAAACCTCGGAAACCTTTGAAACCAGAATTCCCGATTTGGTGCACTGTTCATGCAAACATGATCATGAAGTTTTCAGAGAGTTTTAAGGTTCTAGGAAGCTTTAGAACATCTTCACGAAGCTTGGAAAAGAATTTTGAAGTGTTTTGGACGTCGGGAAGCTCGAGTTCATCGAGTTACAGTGGTTGCCGGAGTGTTCGAGGTTTACCCGGCAAGATTCCGTTTGTTTTCGGGCTCCAAAGTGGTAAGATCATGTTCTCCTAGTTGAGAGCTTCATTTTGGTACAAATTTCATGAATTTTGGTGTTGAAATGAGTAAGTTATCAAGCTTTGAAGTTTTTTCAGAAACCAGTGACGCAGCGGTGACCGGCGCCAGACTCTGGCGAACCAAGGAATGAGAAGGAGAATATTTTGTCAACTTTGACGGAATATACTAACGACGTCAGGTATATATAATGGTATATTCCATTTTGGACAGAATATTCCCTAATGTCGTTAGGGTTTCCATACTTGTGCCAGGCACGTGCCTTGGCCGGCACGTGGGTCGTCGGAAATTTTTTCTAAAAATATGGAGATGTTTGTGGTGTTGAGTAGATCATGTTGGTATATTCAAACACCCCATTTGAGCAATGTATGAGAAGTTATTAGCTAGTTTTGTTTATGTGCTTTAAATTAACGTTTATATAGTTGTTTCCCATATATGTGAGACCTATCCTCAGGACGAGCGTAGCCAATCGAGCCTCAAGAGTTACGATCCTTCCACATACCAGTGAGTGGGCTTTTGGTTTTCCGTATATACCTATATACTTGAGATTTTTCCCAGAAAATCGATTTAAATGAATTTATGTTTAGAAATGCCATGTATATTGATTTATAAGTAGATCATTGAATTAATATAGTATGCATAAATGTGATTTGACGCTGTGGACGCTCAGGTAAGTACCAGGTGAGTTGTTGATTGTTTATGTAAATTGATGATTATGTGAGATGTGTTGAGAGCTCATAACCTTGCATCCCGATGTTAGTGCTCCCACCCAGAGTTAGGGCATAGTCCTTCATGTGATGTTCATCTCTCGCACCATACGCTCATCTTGGATCCAAGTTAGGTGCACAGTCCTGTCGTACAAACCACTGCAGGTGGTTCTGAGTCATAGGTGACCCACGATTATTCGCACAGTATTCACGTGATCATAGCACTTGAGCGTATTTATTTACACCCAGTCTTGTCATACATACCACTTTATGTGGTTCCGACTCGTGCACAGGTATATTTGTTGGGATGTGGATTTGAGCCATGCAGGTCACATGAGGTGATTCCGGCTAGATGGATGAGCTCTAAATTCAGCCGTACAGGTACAGGTCACGTTAGGTGACTCCGGCTGACATATCATTTGCATTGATTTATATCACCTGGCTTACATATAATTTTTTATGCTGAGATATTTGACATGGCATATTGGTGAATTTTGCTATTCTAAGCATGGTTGTGGTATAGATATATATTCTATTTTTTGGGAAATTATACAGGTTTTACGGTGAGGGGTTAGAACATTTGAGAAATGAAATGATTTTGAAAAGCTTTTTTTTTGTCCACTCACACTTTTTGTTTTGCGCCCTTCAAGGTTCTAGTTAGGAGTGCTTTTTGGTGGCTTGCGAGGAATCCACGGCAGCTCTGACAGATTATCACCATTGTATGGTCACCTTTGGGTGTTGTATAATTAGTATTTGTCCTGTTGGACTACACTTAGGCTACTTATGCTTTGATTGTGTATTTCACACTTAATCTTGCACTAGCACCTTTTCTTAGCTAGAGCTGCTAGTAGTTGGTTTTTATTTATTCGCATTTTTATTACTCTTGAAGTTGGAAAGAAATTTTTTTGAGATAACACATCAAAAAATAAACTTACGATAAGCTAACACACAAAAAAATCTAATTGTGTAATCAAATTACTACTTAAATAAATATATATATAGCCCCATATAGAGCCCAAAAGTAAATAGCCCCTCATTGGAGAGATATTCTTTTATAAAGCCCCAATAGTTCCTCAAAGCTCTAAAATAGGTTATATCCACCACTTTTCCAGTCACATATAGAGCTCCTCATTGGGAATACTCTAAAGAAGCACAAGTTTCTCTAGGAAGCACTTCTAAAATTCACACAAAACTCTTTTTAAGTTAATATGTCAAATAGTCATGAGTAATTTTTGCTATTAGACAGCACTTTTAGTTATTTTAGAAGAAGTCCCAAACAAACGCTAAATACCAACCAAATGGTCCATGACTAATTAGCAATAAGAGTTTGTTTTGGTTTGCTTCAACTAGAACAAACGAACTAAAACGTTACTTTTCTTTCATTAGTATTGGTTGAAATAATAAATAATAGATTACTAGTCTTTGTGGTGATAGGGTACTCGGAATATAGTCCATGTGGTATAAAAATAAGAATTTAAGTTCTAGTGGTGAAAGTCTGTTAGGATTTATGTCCAAATTTGAAAAATTTGTTAACTCTTCGTTAATTATTAGCACATGAGGCTCACATGTGAGGCTAAAAAGTCAAAATTAGCCTCACATGTAAGCCTCACATGCTAACAATTAACGGATAGTTATGTTTTAACCTTATATATGTGGTTCATTTGCTAATAATTAATAGAAAGTAGACATAATTTTCAATTTTGAGCACAAACCTTAACATATTTCACCACAAGAACTTAAATCCTAATTTTTTTACCACAGAAGCTATCATCTAACTATCATATCACCATGGGAACTAATAATCCAATCAGACCTAAATAGATTAACCACAGGTGCATTAATTACTAATTTTCTGATGCATCAAACATGGGTTTGGTTAGGCCAAGTTGACAAGGGGGTGCCTAGTGTGCTTGTTTAATTATGCTTGGGTCAAAATCTCCTTTCCGTACATTCACTGTCGTAACGAAAAATCCATCGACAAATGTATGGTAAATGACGTTCATTTAGTTTTGACCATTGTTTATTTCGTGGATGAGTTCATTTGAAGTGGACAGTATCATAGACTCATGGTGGACGAGAAGTTGCGATGCTTTCACGAGGAAGAAAATTTGGTAATTGTAATAAACGTGTAACAACTACTGAAAGTTGATTCGAGAAAGCGCGCTGTGTTTGGATTAGGCTTAATTAAATAAGTCTATCTGATATTGCATAATATATTATGAAAGGACCAGCGTTCATGAGGTCAGAGTTTAAAATTTCCTTGATACAGTCAATATTTCTATGAAAATATCTAAAAAATCATAGAAAGATATGGAAATGGGGAATGAAGTCTAAAATTCACCTTATATTAGAGAAACTCTTTAAGTTTAGGCTAAAATCGATATATATTATCGATATTTCTGACACATCTGTTAAATATCAGAAAAACTTTTATATTTTGTCCAAATTAATGCTAAAAATTTTCATTTCAAATTTTTATTATTTCCATCGAAAGCAATCGATATTCAATATGTCCATCGATATTTCCACAAATTTACATATTAATATTTTCACCGATACCAATATTTTAAACATTAGTCGAAGTACATATGGTTATATTTATATATGCCTGGCCGAGGGTGGACGTCGACTCTCGATACCGATTCGCGGACGTACGTCGGAACTTAGACTTTTCTGCATTCTTAATTTCTTTCTGAACGTAAATTACAAACTAATCATAGACATATATGCACATGTAGGTTTGAAAAAAAATATATATACATTTACATATATATATATATATATGCATATGTAGACAACAACGGAAAGTGAAGCTTTTTTGTATATAGCTAACACATATATGCATCTCGATGGATACGAAAAAATAAGGTTTTCTTTCTACATTTTTGGGGCATTAACAATGGAATAAATTATTTTATGTGCTCTAAAAAACAATAATTTGAGAAAACTATTTGTTTTCAAGTGTTTTTCAAATTGTATAGTAATAATGACATATTACGCTGTATTTCAGACATACTGATAAATTTTTCGGACGATTTCCTAATTTGCAGAGTCATGGATAGAAGAAAGTTGAGGCATATACATTCTTACCGGCCACCGAAAGCGATTATTTGGATGCACTCAAAAAGTCTATGGTCAAATCACATGTACATATATAATATAATCTATGATTGTGATAGACACCGGCTCATTGACAACAATGAAGATATAAATATTTGACGATAAGATTTCAATGCTCTCAAGTCTGTACAAGCTACAGTACGTATAATATCTCGGTGCTTCTTGTTCTTTTTAGGGTTTCTTTTTCTGGAGTCAGTAAACTGATGTAGTCTAAAGGCCGGACTGGACATCATCTTCATTTATATGATATTCAGTACCAATCAATTAATAAATTCCCCACTTTTCGGCCCTTTTTAAGTACATGATAGTATGGTTGAGAGTGAATTTCACGTCAGAAAAATAGAATTTTGTATGTGCTTATAAATAGTTTGGCTACTCTCAAATTGCTAATTAATTTTATAGTGGAAGAAACTCCAACTTTCTTCAAGTATGAATTGATCAAACATTAGACTTACCAACAAAAACAGTAAATTAACATCACACGTACCCTAAAGTTAAGCTGTCTGCTGTCACCGTACCCCTCAACTCATGTAACTTCATGAATCATGTATATAAGCGGAGGCCGAGGCACACACACAGAGGCATACGTTTATCCCCACCGAAATTGCAGCTGCCGCTGAAACCTTACGTACCCTACTATCTTTAATGCTAGCTTCTTCTGTTAAAGAAATTAGATGAACGATCCTTTCACTACTTAAAGACTCTGCAACTAATCTTTTTTTTTTTTTTTTCTTTTTTCCTGCTCTATATACTTCCAGAATTTTATTCATCTGATAAAGAACTGGAGCAATCAAGAAACATGCTCATCAAAATGTTACTCTCCCTTCTCAATCTCCTCAGGATCATCAAGACACACTACTACTCGTTCATGATTACGTTACGTGGTGATCAATATCACAAGCTTCCCGGAATAAGTTATTCTGATCGTGTTTTGCTACAAGAACACAATAATTTATTCCCGGAAGTAACCCCTTCGCCTTGGTTGGTGCCGTTACCGGTTCACTGTATAGCTGAATCCGTGAAGAACCAGCTCCCGGGGGTGCAAAATAGAGGAGGCAAAACGCAGGATTCGGATTATGGCTCGCACACCGATACGTGTACTGTGTGCATGGATAAAGTGGAAGGAGGGCAAAGGGTGAGAGAGCTTTCCAATTGTTCACATGTATTTCACAAAGAGTGCCTAGATGCTTGGATTGATGAGGGTCAGTTTACCTGTCCTCTTTGTCGATCCAATCTATTGCCAAAGAATTGTACTACTCCAGAACCAAAAGGTCATGAACGGGAGTTGGATTCATGGAGGGCGGAGAGGATGATTTACTTGTTTGGTGACGATTACCAGTTCATGTGGTAGCTGGCTTTGTTAGGATGTAGTAGATATTCAGTGGTGAAGCAAGCATGAGGTCATTAATTGGTTGTCCTTACGCCAATAACTCTAAAAACTCCATGTGTATTTGTTTGTATTATTGTATTTGACCCCTATAATTAACAATTAAGGCAAACTAAATTACAACCTCATATTTCTACTTCTTTTATTTTCTTCTATCATATTTGTTTTCTTTTCTCTCTTCTTGTATGGAATGCTTTAGTTGAAAAACCTTGGCAGTCTTTAATATTACTCTACAATATCATGTATCCACCCTTGACAAGCTTCTACTAATAATAGTAGTTGTCGACATATGTTGACATAAACTTTTGGCATATGTTGACAAGAATTGGCAAGTGCCTACTAGGTGATCGACGAAATGACCCAATAAAACTTTTTGGTTGATACTATAACCCCATTATTTGAAAATCCTAGCTACATATATATATATATATATGTACGTATTTGAATATAGTATATTAATTGTTATTAATGATTTTTTTATTTGATCGATCATCTTTTTATGAACATATATAAATAAGAAAGCATGAAAACATGAATATATGGTGATGTTGATAATCATTTCAGTTTTTTATTTTTAGTTTTAAATTTTCTTATAAATTGAAACTTGTTTATGTTGGAGAACAAAGTCGCATTGAACACAAAATAATATACACTTTATAGTGGACGTTACTAATATCACATTTTATGATTCAACCCCATACCTAATAGATGGCCTACTAAGTTAGAAACTATATCCGCAATGATGATCGTAAGACTTAGAAAGTAGCGTTAAGGCTTTCGTTTTCTGTTTTCATTGTTCTTTTGAAACTTGAAAACAATCATCAAACAAGTTTAGGTTTAGGTTTTTCAAAAAAAAAAAAAAAGAAAAATAAATTACAGGAAATGATTAACAAACATTAAGGAGGCTTTATGATAGGATATTTAGTACTTGCATATGGAGGGTTTTTTATTTTTTTTGAGAGAGAGAAATGATAGAATTTTATTAACATAACAAACCACTTACAAGGACGTCAGATGAGTACATATATCCAGTGATCAATTTCTTGATTTAAAGGTAATAAGCACAAACACAAATGATTTTAAACCCCTCATACGGTCATCACACAAAATACATCACTAAAACGATGAATCCCGAGATTGATATGTCCCATAGACACGTGACATAGCAAGCAACGAAACCTTCACCAAAACCTACGCGAGACAGCGAGGCTACAAAACCGCATAAGCGATACAAAAACCTACGCGTGACAGTGAGGCTACCAACAAATTCGCATAGGCGACACGAAGGCCGAAGCAACAAACCAATGATAAAACACTAAACTAAAAAACAAAAGAAAATAAACAGGCGGTGCAGCTGCAAGTTGGTAGTAGGTGTGGGGAGCAAAACCAGGGCACGTGCAGAAATGTCGGGAGGAGCGCGACGACAGCTGTAGCTGGGACCAACTGAGAGAGGTGGGGAGGAAAAAGGTTCCAGCTAGAGCCACCGAAGTTATCGGAACGCCACCACAAACCAAACCAACAAAATAGTACCGAGAGCAACCATAGATTCCACCAACTGGAGTTGGTCGCAGTAATGGTAAGAAATAACGACAATGACATGGGTGCTAAAGGGGTTGCCAAGCCAAGACCACCCATGCCATTGAACCGCCATCCCAACCACCACCACGAACCTAAAGATGACAAATATATATGAAACATGCAACCATCTGTGACATTCAGATCAATTATAAACATGCATGACTAATTACGATTTGTGAAAACCTTTTGAAAAACCATGCAACGCTTAAGTCATGGCATTTTCCCTAAGTGAATTTACAATTATTAACCACAAGAAACATTCCTCAATTTCTGGGTGGCATTCCAGGAAACTGCATCCGGTTACTTATCTAAACATCATAATAGTAGCTAAGCATTAAGATGTAGACACAATTTAAACATAGTGATTAATCATTCAAAGTATGCATACATAATATCATAAACAGTTAAATAAAGACTACATATTCATGCTAAGGCTCCTTCTCCAAATTGATGTGTAGAGAACCCTAATGGCTAATTAGGTTTATTTATGCTACTACAAAATAAAATCCTTCATAGAAAAAAATACAAAATAAAATCCTTCATAGAAAAGGTCTTTTAAAAACTAGGAAACAAAATAAGTTAAAGTAAAATATGAAACATAATCCTAATCAATTAAGGGAAATCTGTCTAGCCACGTTGAGGACCTTAGACATCTCCAAAACAAGCACAAGACAACTCTTTTAAAGCTTGAGATGTCCTAAACATATTTGTAGAAAAGCCCATTGCCATAAAACGTCATCTTGAATGCCAAAAAAGCTAACTAAGCCCAAAATGTCACTTTAATAGTTTCGTGCACTAGTCATTTATGTATTCGCCATAAATTAACCGCTTAGTAGAAAACTTTGAAAATTTGTCACAAACAAATTGAAAGACTTGCGAATATCCTTCAATTGGAATCACGCCATAATTCATCCGCTTGGTCGCTTTTTGCTCGAGGGGGGGGGTCGCATGTCCTGCAATTAAATTATAATTCAGAAAATCAAAATATGGTCAAAACAAATACCAAAATATATTAAAATAAAGTAAAATATATAGTTTAATATTGACTCATCACTTTACAAGTGAGTAAAACGATATATGATAATCAAACGGTACCCATGCATCATATCAGTTTCTTCTTACTTTTCTTTTACCCATGCGTTAAAAGAAAACCAAACCTAGATTCAACTAGAAGTAATTCGCAACCCGTTGGGTCATCAAAGATCACGGATTAACGGGTCACGGACCAGCTAGCATTGCCGCCCTAGCCCTAGCCAGCACATCTCAATGGTCCCCATGCAAGATCGAACTGACTCAAGATTAAGGCCGGTGAATGGAAAAAGGAAAACGGACCGACCTCTTAGACGTAGACAGACAAAGGAAACGGACCGACCTCTTAGACGTAGACAGACAAAGGAGTACATTTTGTTGGCAAAATCTCTAAATCTTTTTGAGTAAGAAGCATCAATTAATTTGTACGTTATTCGTATATTGCCTACTTTCTTGGACTTGTTTGGCAGATGAACCGGTTGATCTGAAATCATTTTTTGTTGGATTAAATGGTAGTCATAAGAGTGTTTTTCTTTGGAAAATTGTATTCGTATAGTTTGTTCACTAGAATTGAATGTCTTAATAGTTTTGAATTTGTCTAAATTTTGTAAGAATGATCTATTTATAATGTACTAAAAAATAAACAGTAGCCATAAACTGGTGCTGACTTAGGGTACCTAACTAAAAGTAGAAGATATATATATATATATATATAAAGATAAGAGAGACTTACTTTGGGTATATATCTTAACCAAAAATAGATGTATAAAAAAAGAAAGACTTAGGAGTAAGATTCCTAGGAGATGGTTAATTTGGTGCATTTTTATGCATGGATTCTCTGTATCTGTCTCCCGTTGTCTCACAGCGAAGCACCACATGATTGAATGGGCGGAGATGTGAATGTGTTCGCACCTACCAAGACATCGTTATCATCGTTAGCATGCATTATTTCAGAAAACAAACCCTACTTGCTCATTGTTCTAATACAAAAAAGATGAGACCCTCAGAAGATGCGACTTTAATTTACCAGTTCCCAAAATGTATCCATAAGTTGACAATGTGAACACACAAAATTAATGAATAAGTAGGAAAAAAAACATCACTTGATCGCTGTATATAGCTCGATTAATGTTCGTAACTTTCATTAGGTTTGTTCTAAAGTCTTCATAATTTGACAATATGGACCATCAAATCTGGTCTACCAAGGAAGTCGGTAAAGCTCCTTCAATGATTACGAGTTATGACTTTACGTGAGCTCCAAAAAGTTAAACAAGAAAGAAAGGTTCGAACTTAAGTGTAAAGGAAGAAGTACATTGCTCTATCCAATTTGGTTAACCAAAGCCCGTAGCTCCTTGGTTGATTAATTACAGTCAACTTCATCCAATATTCAACAATACTCAAATTGATTCCTCAAATTTGCAACCAACACGTATTAATCCCATACATATTTAATTAAGAATATCCTATGTATCGTTGGATATGTTCTTGTACTTATTATCTAGTCTACCAAGGAAAATGAGGACAGCCTAACGTACGGGCGCCAAAAAATTCAACGGGAGCTTCTTGATTTATTAATTACACCGGGCATCATTCAATATTCCCAAAAATAAGGAAAGTTTTTTAAATGTCATGCCAACTTATATATATTTTTTAATTTATCATATGAACTAAAATTTTAAGTAATTTGTCATATGAATTTCTGAAATCATTAATTTGTATCATCTTAATTCCGTTAAGTTTTCTATTCAAAAGATGGCTATCTTGGACTTTTGACCCCTTTTTTTTCAAGTTTATTTATTTATGGGATAAATTGATTTTGGCTTTTTAGCCAAAATAGTTCATGAGATTCGCATAACTCTTCACTTTGGTCCTGAGATTTCAAATCAATAGAAGTGGTTTCTGAGATTGTCCATCATCCATCATTTTGGTCATTTCGTTATAAACTCTGTTAAGTGTCTCGGAGCGCTTGGCCGAAAGTTTGGGCAATTTTTAAAGTTTCGTAACTCAATCGTTTATTTACCAAATTCGACCCATGATATATCAAAATGAAGATAGGAAATTGTAGAATAAGATTGTACCTATTTGGAAGCCACAATGGTTGCTGGAGATGGTCAGAAAATAGCCTCAAATTTGACTGGTCCGAGGGAAAACTGGAAAACTCGCCGGAAACTGGGCAAACTTTAAATGTTCATAACTTCTTCTATACTCAACGAAATTAAGTGATTCAAAAATGAAAATCATACTTCTCGATGAGACAAAGAGAATGGTACCTTTTTCAGCGGCTAAATCGCCGTAGCTTGGCCGGACAATGGCTCAAAAGTGGCTAACTAGAGACCAAGAGAGCCACTTTCGAGCCGTTTTTCGGCCAAACCACAACGATTTAGCGCTGAAAAAGATACCATTATCTTCTTCTCATTGAGAAGTCTGATTTTCATTTTTAAATCATTTGATTTCGTTGAGTATTGAAGAAGTTATGAACGTTTAAAGTTTGCCCAGTTTCCGTTGAATTTTCCAATTTTCC